GGAGCCTTAAATGTGGGTTGGGGAAGGTGCCCGCCGAAGCAGGCAGGAAGGCTTAAAAGGCAGAATCTTCCTTTGTTCAGAGGCAAAGAACAGGTATCAATGGACAGTTCTCACAATGGAGTGAGTGCCCCACAAGGATTGGTATTGGGGCTGGTACTATTTAATTGATACGGAATTAGTGCTGAGTAGTGTAGTGACCAAGTTTGCAGATGGCACAAAATTATTCAGGATGGTGAAAACCAAGGCTGCGTGTGAAGAGCTCCAAGGGGACCTCCACAAACTGGGTGAGTGGGCGGCAGTGGGGCAAATGAAGTTCAGTGCTGGTAAGTGCCAGGTGAGGCCCATTGGGACCAAAAAATATATATATATCCCAGCTTCAAGTGTAGGCTGATGGGGTCTGAACATGCTGAGACTGAGAGGGAAAAGATCTTGGGGTCATAGTAGATAGCTCAATGAAAGTGTCAACCCAGTGAAAAGGGCAAACTCTGTGTTAGGGATTGTTAGGAAAGGGATAAATAAAATGCCCGATATTGTAAGGCCCCTGTGTGGATCTATGGTGCAGCCTCATTTGGAATACTGTGCACAGTTCTGGTCCCCGTATCTCAAAAAGGGCCCTGCAGAGCTGGAAAAAGTACAGAGGAGGGCAACCAAGGTGATTTGGGGATTGGAGCACCTTCCCTTGGAGGAAAGGGTGAGGAGGAGTCTGGGGCTTTTCAGTTTAGAAAAGAGACGACGAAGGGGGAGGGACCCACGCTCCCTCCAAGCCATGGAGTCTTGTGAGTGAGCGATTGGGCTAATGTATACATTCATTTGCTCTGGAGCCCTCCTTCCTGAGCTAAGGCAAAAATGTGTGAGCCAGAGGCTAAAGAACTGTAAGCTAGCTCACATTAACTCAGCTCAGAGGGAACATTGGGGGGGACATGATAGAAGTTTATAAAATTATGCATAAACTGAAGAGAGTTGATAAAGAGAATTTCTTTCCTTCTCCCAAAATACTAGAACATGAGGGAATCCAATGAAGCTGATGGGCAGTAGGTGCCGTACGGGCAAAAGGAGATACCACTTTATGCAGAGACAGAAGAAGAAGAAGGAGAAGGAGAAGGAGAAGAAGAAGAAGAAGAAGAAGAGATTGGATTTATACCCCATGGCCCTTCACTACCCAAAGGAGTCTCAGAGCGGCTTACAAACTCCTTTCCCTTCCCCTCCCCACAACAGACACCCCGTGAGGTAGGCGGGGCTGAGAGAGCTCTTGACAGAAACTGCTCTTTTTCAAGAACAGCTCTTATCAGAGCTACAGCTTGCCCAAGGCCATCCAGCCAGGTGCAAGTAGAGGAGTGGGGAATCAAACCTGGCTTTCCCAGATTAGAGTCCGTGCACTTAACCACGACACAAAACTGGCTCTGTGGAATTCGCTGCCAGAGGATGTAGCGATGGCCACAGGAATGAACAGCTTTAAAGGGGGATTAGACTCATGGAGGGTAAGATTATCAGTGGCTGCTAGCCATGGCAACTGAAGGGAACATCCACATTCAGAGGCAACGTTAGGGGAAGGCCTCAGCCTCCATGCCATGCTGTTGGCCCTCTAGAGGAGCTGGCTGGC